TGAGAGATACCATTGGCTGAATTTGGTGATTTCTGATTGGCCCTACAGTCTCTTTGAGAATGCTCTCTCTGGCCATACAAAAAACAATAAAGATCTCCCTTTCTTGTTAATGAGCCATTTGGTGTTTCAAATGCAAATCTGCCTTGCCTTTGTTGAGTTCTAGCAGTGAAATTTGATGCAGATTCTGGCTGAAAGAAATTGCTGTCTCCCTTTCTTTGTAAACTTTGAATCTGTTCTGCTTGACTTAAATCTGCACAACACATCATCAAACATCAGATTTTCTTGCATAGATTGCTGCAAAGTTCTAATACCAGAAATAAAAGGACCAAATTCTTGTGGCAAAGATCCCAAAAGCACTGCAATTTTCTGTTGATTATTTAGATTGCCACCAGCAAAATAAAGTTTATCTAGGAGCATTTTCATGGTCTGAATATACTTCAAATAATTCCTGCCACTGGGAAACTGCAATACAAACAGATCTTTGTAGTAATCTGTTTGATGATTAATGTCTGTTTTGCCATAGTATTTCTTTAAGATTTGAATCATATTCTTAGCATCAGTTTGATCTTTTACATGAATATACTGATCATCTCCCAAAGTCTGGGCAATAAAACACTTCATCTTCACATGATACTTTCCCCACGTCTGTCTCTCTCTTTCTCCTTTTAGATGTTCTGTTTCCAAGATATATAGGATTCCTTCTTCATCCATTTGAAGTTTCATTTGTTGAAGTCAAACATTAGGATTATCCTCAGTTTAGGTATCAGAGACCGGGCATATGCCACTGATGTCTGAGCCATCTTTGCTCACACAAAACAAAACCTCCTGTTTAAAAAACTCAAAAAAGACCAAATACACTGGCAATCTCACTTGTGCCAAAAATCCAAAATCTCTGGCTTCCAAAACCACAACTCAAACAAATTACCTTGTGGAGATTATCTGGGCCCATAACCTGTTAGAACTATGGTTTTCATTATTTGTGGTTAAAATCAGTTTAGCAGCAACAGCAACAACAAGCGTGTACTCCACAGGTATTTGGCAGAAAGCTAGATCTGGGCTTCTAGTAAATGAATAGGCTACATTGGTAGGTAAAAAGAAACTTACTCTATTGGTACATCTAAGTTCTTCAAAAATAACTACTCAGTAGAGAGAACTATACCGTGGTACAGAGGTCCCTAGATAGCTGACCTCAATGTATGCAAGTAAGAAGAAAAACATCTTTAAGAGCAAGGCCTGGTTTCTGCATACATGCTTAATAAGAGCAGAGAGGAAAGTATGCTACCAAACAAAGAATCATAAAACTTTATTACCCCAGGAAGAAACCCCCAGGAAAAGAAGAGATAAATCAGTGTTCCTGTGTAGAGCACACCACCCCTTCTCAAGGAAAACAGAGCCACACACAAGCATTGATGCTAATACTCCAACAGTCACTGCCACTTTCTTTAGCTCCATATGATTGTTTTAAAATCAGCTTGGAAGAGTATGTAATGACTTGTAATCAGAGGAGGAATATCATCTATTAGCAGGTGGCCATAGAGAAGTGGGACTCTGGCTACAGCTACTGTTGCCAGAGACCCAGCAAACAGGGATTTTCATCACCACTGGAGCAGCAGACCTCTCTTTTCCTAGGCCCAGTGATATTGTGCTGCCAAGGGCCTTCAAACAGGGGGGATCCTTGCCCCTGAAAATTCTTTGGAGTTCCCACAATCCATTACCCTTTCGTCACCCAAGGGACTTTCAATAAGATGTCCTACACTCTCATTTTCACTACATTGTAGTTACCACATCGAGTGTCCCGTAGTTAAAAATGCTTGGAACAAAAACTATTTTGTATTTCAGATTTTTTTCAGATTTTTTTATATATGCATATACATAACGAGGTATCTTGGAGATGGGACCCAATTCTGAATACAAAACCCATTTATATTTCATATACCGTATATGCTCGACTACTGTATAAGTCAACCTCATGTATAAGTCGAGGATAAAACTTAGGGGCATGTAACAAAGGATGTAAAGGACGAAGTTTACTGTTTTCATATAGAAATGTCTTATTCAGATCCTTCTAAGGCCAGTTCCTCTTGGCACTTCTTTGAGGGGAAACACCAAAGAGGTGCCACCACAGTCATTTTCCCATCCAAGCATTCAAAAAGGCCAGAAGCAGCAACATGGTGGAAAGAGTAGGGGGTTGTGCTTCTTTTGGGTGCTCCCAGGATAAACTAAGCTCTTACCTTTTGCCATTCTACTCAGAGAAGAGAAAGAGTACAATGTAAAATACAGTACTTGCATTGACCCATGGATAAGTCAGCCCCCTTTTTGGGGGGAGGGGGGGGGTCAATTTTTTGAAAAAAACTTCTAGACTTATACATGAGTTCAGGGGTAGGCAACCTTTTTGAGCCGGGGGCCGGGTTGCTGTCCCTCAGACAATTGGGGGGCCGAAGCACCAAAAATAAATAAATAAATAAATAAATAATTTTTTGTTAAAAACATTTAAAAATATGCATGCACACTCTCTCAGCCCCAGAAAAGCCATGGCAAAACCCCTGTGGAGATTTTGCCAAGAAAACCCCAAGAACAAGTAATAATAACAATAATCAATATCATCATGGCGGGGCGGCGGTGGCGGCAGGACTGGCCTGGGGCCAGTCCAAAGGCCTCGGGGGGCCGCATCCAGCCCCCGGGCCTTAGGTTGCCTACCCCTGCATGAGTATATACAGTATGTCTTAAACACATGGCCTCAAGGTAATTTTATACATCAAATTTTTAATTTTGTGCATGAAACAAAGTCTGTGTTCACTGAATCATCAGAAAGCAAAGGTGTCACTATCTCAGCCACTCATTTGGACAATTTTTTGGATTTTGGAGTATTTCAGATTTTGGAATTCCAGATAAGGGATACTCAAGCAATACCTGCATTATACTTTAAATGTTTTTTGTTTGTTTGGCTGTTGTTTTGTGCCTTCAAGTCATTTCCAGCTCAAAGTAACCCTAGCACGACCCTACCATGGGATTTTCTTGGCAAGTTTTTTCAGAGGGATTTTGCCATTGTCATCCTCTGCCCATTAGAAAGTGTAACTTATCCAAGGTCATTCAATGAGTTTACATGGCTGAGCTGGGATTCAAACCCTGGTCTCCAGAGTCGTCGTTTTAAATTAGTGTTTTTACTTGATCACTTTAAAAAAAACTTTTGCATTATACATTGTTTTACCTGTACTTTTTTTTTTTTAAAAAAGGAAAGCTTTTGTACTTTCAGCTGCCTGGATTCTGAAGTTGAGAGAAGGGGGAGATGGGGTGGGGAGAGACAGACAGATGGTCTGTGCTGGCCAGGACTTCTGGGAGCTGGAATCCAAACTACCTACAGGGCTACAGGTTCCCCACCATGACCTAGGTCTATCTGTGGCAAAGATTCAGAAGGTTAAAGAGACACGGCCATTACCCTCTCACAGGACTGCTAATGGTGTGCCAGACAGTAATATATGCTTTCCTTAACAACAGAGAAAAGAGGTTGTGATCAGTTCACTTCCCTTCCCTTCCCTTCCCACATATGTCATAGTAGCCATACTAGTTAAGGCAGTGGGACTGAAGTCCAGAGATCTGTAGGGAGGTGTGTGGAAATAACCCTTGGAGGCAGATAGAGTGACGTGACAAAATTTGTTTTTAACTTAGCTTTCTGACTACCCATGATCTGAGGATAAGCCATGCACCTTATGACCGGCTTCTTAATCCGAATGATCTTTCAAGGGTGCCTGTACTACCAGCTCCGAGTGGAAGGAAGGACAGCAAAGTGAGTCAGATTTCTCTTTGGAAATATTTTCCCCTCCCTAGTATATTTCCATAACAGCAAGGGTGGAGAAGTGAGCCAGTGGCTTGAGTGTTGGACGACCAGGGTTCAATTCCCAGCTCAGCCATGTCACACACTGTCAGCCTCTGGGGAAGGGAATGGCAAATCTGAACAAATCTTGCCAAGAAAACTCCATGATAGGGTTGCCTTAAGAGTTGCCATAAGCTGGAAATAATTTGGAAGGCACACAACATACACAAGGGTGGAGAAACAAGAGAGCCTTTGAGGGACAAGAATCAGATCTCCATTCTACCTTGTCCCCTGGCAACTCTGTCAAGGTTTCTGTTGATTCGATCTGGCCTGTCTTTTAGTCTAACTCTTTTCAGCTATCTATTCATATGCAGAGACTGAAAAGTAAAGCTTGTTTCAGAATGGCAACAAACCTGATTCTCAACTGGTTGCATTTCACACTGCCATTCAAGGTACAGGTACTGTGACTTATTAAAAAATTGGCATCCCTATAGGAAGAGAGGGTGTATTCACACTCCTCCATTCATCAGACACTGGCAATTTCCACTCTGTTGTGAATCAGTACCAATTAAATGGACGTTCACAAAACAATAGGATGCTTTATGAATAAGGCTGCCTCCTGTCTACCTATCTACCTAGATACATACACAGTCCTTTCATATCCTTCATAATTATCTGTCCCCTCATATACTTCAGTCACCTTACCATCTTTCTAACTGGGTTAGTGTAATCCATAGGTTTTTCATAATTACTGATGAGAAGAAGTGGATTTTTACTCTGCAACAAGACGGTGGTAGCTATATTTTGTTGACATCTTATTTTTTGACAGAGGCTCTTGGGCCTTTCAATTCCATGACAGAAATTCAACAAGTGCAGCTCTCCCCAGCACCCTAACTCCATGCCAAGCAGAGAGATCCCTATTTTGTTTTTGTTTTTTTAAATGGTAGAAAGTTACACACATCTGCATGAAGTATCTTGTATGGCTCTGTGAGAAAGCCAGCTATCAAGCTTTCTTCTTGTTCTCATACTGCTGGGATGGCATTCTCACTTAGCTAAGGCACAAGAGCCTTTGGGAATGGAGGAAACATGACTGTTCAGAGCAAAAAGATGTAATATTGTGTCAATTTTTGGCCAATCAGATGCAAAAGAGCTCCAGCATCTTTAATAGTTATACAGAAAGGGGAATGTAGAAAGTGTGGCATAGTGGTTTGAGCGTTGGACTGTGAATCCAGAAACCAGGGTTCAATTCCCAGCTTGGCCATGTAAACCCACTGGGTGTCCTTGGGCAAGTCACAGCCTCAGGGGAAGGCAATGGCAGACCTCCTCTGAATAAATCTTGCCAAACAATTCCCATGAGAGGTTTGCCTTACATTTGCCATAAGTCAGAAACGACTTGAAGGCACACAACAACATTGATTGCTCACTAGTAGTTCCCATAGCAAATGCCTAAAATATGGACAATAAAGATGTGCTATCTTTAAACACATACATCTGGTAAGGCTGGCCTTAGGGTCACCATAAGTCAGAAACAACTTGAAGGCACACAACAACAATAGAAAGGGGAAATCCAGATCATCTGCACCAGTGCTACTCAAATTGTCTGGATCAGTGCTAGTCCACAAGCTACTGGCTGTTGGTCGATGGCAAGTTTCCAGGAAAGAAGAAATAGTTACAATCAATGAATACAATTATGGTGCTGGTCCCTTACACATTGGGAGGAAAACTTTACTGTTCCCCTACCTACATCAAGGCAGCTTAAGAAGCAGTTCCACACAGCACAAACATGCATCACCCTGTTCTCTTTTGGATCTGGCCCTCTTCATTTGTATGTATAGC